AGATTTTGACAGGTGTCTAGGAAGTGAAAATATTAATTTTATTTATGCATTTTGTGTTTTAAATACCTCTGGAAAAAAAATGTTGACTAATGGAGCTTAAAAGGGCTTTACATGTTCACCTCCACATGAAAGAACCATGACTCTTCCTCTTCACACCCCTCAAAAGAAAGATAGAAAAGAATCCAGCTGAAAGAACATAAGCTGAAACACTAAAGGAGTTCAATATGAATTACACACTGATGGAATGATCTTTGAAAGACCTAGAAGTCAATAGCTACAGAAAGATGAAAAAGAAGAAAAAAAGGATGAGACAAGTACAAAAAAAGGTTTAGAGACCTGACAGGCCTTTCTCTTCTAGGACTTTAGGGCATTTCTTAGCACTTAAGTATACATATTTTATATGCAATAATTAATATTTTATTGTCATTCTTCAAAATGGAAAAGAAACAAGAAATACATCATACATTTCTTAACCCTGGTAGAACATAGGTTGACACAACCTATAGTGATATGACACAGCTATTGTATTGATGATATACAATTATATCATCTAATATCACACAATTAGTTCTCTTTGAAACTAGAAAAATGCTTATTCATGGAATCAGAATTTATTCATTTATTCTCAACAAAGATCTACAAATCATTTTATTCTGTTTCTATATCAAAATAAATATTTCTCTCCTTTATTCATTTATTTAATTTGCATGATCTCATGATCTCAAAGTTACAGTAATTATTTTTATAAAGACAAAGTTAATGGCTTATGTATTACCTATCAATTTCTTCATTAAGATTAGCAGAAAAATCCGAAATGGAATAATCATACTGAAAATTACTTTGGGTGATATTTATCTTCAAAGGGTTGGCACTAATTAGGATTATGCAAATAATCAATGTCAATAATGATCCTGAAAAGGTATAATCTAGGGTGTCAGAAAACATGATTATAACAAAATTTTCGTAATATGTTCCTGCAATCTCCTTCAGCAGCTCCCTAAAGAGAGAACCATACCTTTATGGATATCTTACATTTTCCTTTCAAATTATTTTAAACACTGCATCGCATATATACAAATTTTAAAGATAACATGAAAAATGAATTTTGCATGCTGGTATATTTCCAAAGATATCATTTTAGTTTTATTATACCTCATATATGCTTTAAGTATATGTCACTTAAAACCTGAGTCATGGATTTTTTGAATCTACCATCTTACAGGGTAGTGAGTATTTGAGAAAAAATCTTAAGTAGCTGAAAAGTAGACACAGGGAGTAGAATCGCCATAAATTTTCCATTTCTAAGAAATATGGCATTCTCTGATTCATTTCTTCCTAATCCCTCGTGTTTGCTCCTCCTAAAACTATGCCTTTGGGAACTATACATTCGTGTCAATTTATGCTTTTTCTCATTCTCTTGAGGTTTTTATCTCCCAGGGTGGCATACCCTGGGCAATGTGGTAGGAGTGAAAAGCGAGTCTTTGTCTCCTAAGAGAAAGAAGAGGTACTGAGTTAGAAAGTTAAGCTGGCAGGTTGTTAAATGCATGAGAAAGGAGATTGGAAAGAAGTAAGAAATTCACATATTACTCTGGAAAAAGATGGGTCGGCCAGATGTGTGTATGTGTATCCATGGAGAGACAGAGAGAAGATAGGGCTGACAGACACAGAGAATGAATGAATTCATTTTGCTATTAAAAGGAAGTTGCTTGACTAAATACCAGATTATCTTAATCTCTGACAATTGATTTATCTGAGAGATGACGTTTAAAAAGTCAACAAAATTGATGAAAATAAACAAGGTCAATGGTTAGGAAAATGTGTAGATACCTAGACATTTTTCTTTTCATAAAGTTTCTTTCGGAGTAGTTTTACAAAGCAGATGAATAGGCCCACTCTACATATGCTTTTCAAAGCCTAACCCTATAAGTAATGGTGAATTCAGTGTTTGAGAGCTTAAATAAAACAAATGCAGGCCAATTGTTCCTGCTTATGTGCATATGTGCTAATGCTGTCTGCCGTGAAACAAACTCTTCATGGCTATAAAATTGAATTATCCTAGGATTAACAAGCAGCTGTAGCAGATGTGCATTCTCCTGGTGCCAAGATTCAGACCTAGCTCCATCATGTGCTAACTCCAAAACTTGAGCCAGTTATCTTTTACTGATAAACTTTTATTAACCTATAAAATGGGGGTACCTGGGGGAAGATTTGACACATTATTACATGTATGAAAGCAACTGCTCACTAGAAGAATTTCAATTAACATTAGCCAAACCAGAACTGCTGTTGTTATGAACATGGTCTGCAGTTTTAAATTTGCTTTGTCAAGGTTTTATATGCACATGGAAAAATGAAGTTATTCAACTATGAAATAAGTGTAGAGAATCATTATCAAAATCTATTAGTTTCTTAGATATATGTCCTAATGCTTACTTAGAAAAGTTTTTCAGTTTGAATTCCAACAGCAACACTCCTAAATCAGATTATAAAACTTAAAACTACATTGTAGGAAAATGTTGAGTCCCAGTTAGTGGAGTGTGCAAGAAGGATGCTAATTTTAATGATTGTGTTTGACATGTAGATTACTGGAAGTAGTCTAGTCTATCAAGCGTATCCTCAAGAGCAGCATCTTCATCCTGGGAATAATATACAACAAGCTTCTCATAAGATTCTAAACATTTTAAAATCTGAGAATGAGAGTCATTGGCCTAAAGATGCATATATAACACATAGATGCTAGGAACAAATCTAAGGTAAAATCTATTGTCCTTGGCCTGGTAATACATCTTTGAAATAATTATTTTCTTAGTTCAAGTTTTTGTTTTTCTGTCAAGATGAACCTCTCCTTTACTTCCCTCTGATAACTTCCTGAATCATGCCAAAATTTCGCCATTATTGCAGAAGATTCTAATAAGTTCTTTATAGGATATTGAACTGATTCACCTGTTTTTAAGTGTATGAGTAGATCTTGAAGGGCAGCTACCATTTTAGATCATTGGCAGTGGTTCAAGAAGCAGGTGATTTGTACAGTCCCTATGGCCTTGCTTGTAGGCAATGTAACTCTTACGATCCTCATTGTATTATGGGTCTGGCACTGGTACTAAAATAAGCAACTTTATCACTAGTTTAAAGTTAATAGGACAAGAAACAAACACAGATTTATCACAGAAAAAGGCAAAGGGAACAATATGTGGCCTTCACCATGGAGAATTCTATTCATATAAAACAACTACTATTTGAATTAAGGCAAACCTAGACATAATGTAGGAATCTGGAAATCTTTAGTTAGGGGATTCTGTGCAAATTCAATAGTCATGAATTGAAATGTAATACAGTATCTGAAGTGCATAGACAGCTTTATGAGTAGTCTCAGGATGAATACAAGTGACAACAGCTTTAGTAAGGCCCTCATTTCCCTTCCCATTATCCTCTGAGGAAAGCCATTCTCTATTAATATGAGAGCTGATATCTTAATATCTGTACTGCATTCATTGATTGTGTAGGGTTTTTCTTATCCACAGAAAAGGTGACAACACACTGGAAGTTGGGGATTATTGAAAGCTCTTCCTCTTGATTTCACATTGAACAAGTCCACCCCACCTTCTTTGCATAGCACAGAATGGAAAAATGTAATCTTCAGGTATAGGCAAGATGTCTATTCTCAGATGTATTGCTAATTATTATCAGAAGTGAGGCCAGATTCTGAAAGTATGACTGTCTCCAAGAGAATGCTCAACAGGTTCCTGAGGGATCATATTTGAACAACCGAAGCTTATCCAACTCACAGAGACACAGTAGCTATCCAGTTAGCAATCACTAGAATAGATGAGTTTATTTGGAAAAAAAAATTCAGGTAAGATAGGCAGACTAAGTAAATCCAACACTACTGCTGAGTATGAAGAACAAAGGGATCTGGGTTCTTTTGTTTACAGATTAATGTTGCTAAAATGTACTGATATTTCACAGGATTCAATCTGCAATCTGAAAATTGCTTTTCTAGGTAAGTAAGGCATATTGTAGACTAAGTTTTCATAATGCTTAATGGAGATAATCTTTACTCACAAGTTCTTATTTTGTATTTCTTCAGTCATCTTCACTGGTAGAAATACAAAGAAGCATTGACTATATTTTAATAGTGCTTCATCATAATGACATTGGTGGGACTTCTATATCTTGAGGACTTGTAATGTACTGGGTGGAATGGTAGGTGCTTTGCACATACTATCTCTTAAGTCAGTGGAGTCTTTTCAATACCTTATAACACATATATTAACAAAGGAAATTGGAACATTTTAAGTTACTTTTTCAAGGCTGCATACCGGTTACCCATAAAGGCTGATTAGAACTAGTTCTATTAAACCTTATCCTTGGTCATAAGTGAGACAACTGCTCATATATCAATTGTTTTTACACCATCCAAACGTTCTCATGTATGAACCTATGTGAGTAGTTGAATACTTACAGAAATATGAATTCAATAATAATGATATATAAATGAAAATCACATGTTCTCTATTGAGATGAGTCAAATATGCCTCTTTTCTAAGTTATACATTAAAACTTTAGGGTCTTGCTTTAAATCTAATTTTTTCCCTCCTCATCCATCACAAGGCTTGAGACAACACATCAGTAGTCAGTACAGTCATTCCTGCCATCAAGTAACAGCAAGGTGGTAGAAAGGGTCTCAGTTTGCTCAAATTTCTGTTTTCACTTCTATGCTCTGGATATGATAAAATCTGCCTTTTAGAGCGGTTGTGATAACAGTACTAAATCCAATAATACACAGAGTTGAAACATATCATTGAATTCTCTAGCGTGCACCAGTCAATAAGCAGGATTTAGATTCTGAAACTTACAGATTTAGTTAGAGTCACTATTTTATTTCATGGTCAACTCATAATGCTAAATCTGCCACATATATTACACACAGAGACATACACACATTATATGCTTGCCATTTTCTCTCCAAGAGCAAACACACTAGAACTGTTTCTTCTTACCACAACAAGAAGTATTGTCAACACAGATTCTTCCACTTCATTTGGGATACTTCACATATATGGATTCTACATCTTGAAAGCATCCTCAGTATATCCTAAAAATGAAATAAAAAATTTGGGAACAAGCGAAAAAACGTACTTTGCCCAACAATTATTATCTGACTACTTTTGATTAAATTCTGAAATAAAAATTACACATGTATTTCCAGAGTATAATTACATGAGTCAAACTAATGTGTTGTTCCCCAATGACACTATTGCTTACATTTTCTCATAAATAATTTCATCAGATGTGTTTTTGTAAATCAATACATATTTTTATAAGCATTAGGAAAATAATTATAATGTAAGATGATTTTCATATCAAAGTATTTTGATTAAATTTAGTTTGAAACAAAATGTTCTAAATACCAGTAATAGCATATAACTGATAACATGAAGTATTAGATCAAATTATGATTTATAAGTACTATTAGAAAAAGATTCGTAGCTTAAATATATTCTCATCTTCTTTTCCCCCAGAACATGTTAGAGAGTTCACTCAGGGTTTTAGGCATGCCAGAGAAGGTCTCTACCAAAAAGCAGCTTTCCCTGATCCTACCATTTGCTATTTGAAGGGATCTGGAGATGTCTTTCTAAAAGACAATTTGAAAACACCTATAAACTTAAGTCAATGAAGCAGCTAGGCTACCTACTGATTTCACCTCTCCTTTCATTCCTCCAAATCCAATCTCTAGGTTTTATCCCAAGCTCTGTAACAGACTACTTGCTGCATTCAGCCTCTCTTGATCCCTGTCACATCTCCAGATCACACAAATCTTCCCCTCCAAATTCCTTCCTCACTTATTCTTTTATCTCAGCCCCAAACTGCAGCAGGCTTTCTCTGGGAACCCACCAGCCAAGCCTGGCAGAGAAGCAATTAGGCCAGTGAAACATGGAGGCGAGCTTCAGATCTTCACTTTTCCCTCTCTCTTCCATATCCAATTCCCCAGTCTCACCCCCAGCCCTGTAGTAGACCACCTGTTGTGGCCTCTCCTCACTCTCTGCCCCAATTCCCAGAAGATTAAACAGATGCTGGTGGAAAGCCCTGTTTTCCTCTCTCCTGTGGATCCAGCCTATCTCATTACCATTTCTAAGAGTCAACTTCTAATATCTAGAAACACATTTTACCTGGAACCCCCACTGGTCACACATTTCAGTATCCCAGAATAATGTATTACCAGTCCAAACACAGAGACCACACTCACTTAAGAACCATAGATTGCAACAGAAATTGAGGAACAAAACACTCACTCAACAAAGAACAGATACCCATTCCTAGAATTGCAATCAGTTCAAACCCAGATTTCTAGACCCCACTGTAAAAACATAATCAATAATAGCCATGACCATATTTTGACAGGGCAGAACAGTACATAAACCCCCCGATTTGTATTCTTGCTGTGGCCATTTTAGGTTGAATTAGAAATTTATCTCATTGATGGTGAATCGCATGGAAAATTGTCCAATCCTATTTAGGAACCCTAGGTCAAGATGCCTCAGGTAATTTAGCGTATCATCTTTATTGCTTGAGCAAAACCTCCAACTGCAGCTGCCGAACAAGATACCAGGATGTGATTTTGACTTTTCAAACTTCTTACCGTAAATACTCATCACTATACTTGGTCTCAAATACCCTAGTATAGTCCCAGTTGACTAGAATAAAGAATTTTAACTGGCTTTAAACTGTATCTGAGTGGTCATCTCTGGTGGGCTCCCGGTAACAATATGTTTCCACAAACAAAATGTTGAAGGAAATGAAGAAGACAGTTCAAATCGTGACAAAAGAAGTAGAACCAATAAAGAAAACCCAAACTGAGGGAGATCTGGAAGTGAAAATTTTAGGAACTCAAATAGGAACCTTGGTGGCAAGCCTCAACAAAAATGCATAAGAGATGGAAGAGAGAATCTTAGGCATTAAAAACACCATAGTAAAGCCGGGCGGTGGTGGCGCACGCCTTTAATCCCAGCACTCGGGAGGCAGAGGCAGGTGGATCTCTGTGAGTTCGAGGCCAGCCTGGGCTACCAAGTGAGTCCCAGGAAAGGCGCAAAGCTACACAGAGAAACCCTGTCTCGAAAAACCAAAAAAAAAAAAAAAAAAAAAAAACACCATAGTAAAATTGAATACCTAAGTCAAAGAAAATGTCAAATCTAATAAAATGCTAGCACAAAACATCTAATAAATCTGAGACACTATGAAGCGACCAAACCTAAGAATAATAGGAATAGAGGAAGGAAAATTAACCCATGTGTTCTCAGAGCACAGAAAATAGTTTAAAAAAATCACAGAAGAAAATTTCCCTAATCTGAAGAAGATGATGCACATCAAGATATAGGGAGCATAAAGAACACCAAGTAGAGTAGACCAGAAAATAAATTACCCTTCACACATAATAATCAAGACACTAAACATACAGAACAAGGAAAGAATATTAAAAGTTGCAAAGGAAAAAAAAACTAACTGACATATACAGGAGACCTATCAGAATAACAACTGACTTTTAAAAAATGGAGACAACAAAAGCCAGAAGAGCCTGGAAAGATATTCTACAGACTCTCAGAGACCATAGATGCCAGCCCAGACTATCCAGCAAAACTTTCAATCATAAATAGATGGAGAAAATAAGATATCCCATGATAAAACCAAATTTAAGCAATACCTAACCACAAATCCATCCATACTGAAGGGGCTAGAAGAAAAAAATCCAACCAAAGGATATTAACCACCCCCCAAGAAAACACAAGTAATAAATAACCCCAGACCAGCAAATCTAAGGAAGAAAAATACACACACACACACACACACACACACACACACACACACACACACACACCATCACCACCATCAACAAAATAACAATAGGCAACACAAAACTCATTTATGTCTCTCAACATCGATGGTTTCAGTTCCCCATGTAAAAGAGACAGACTAACAGAATGGATATGAAAACACATCACCCTTCTGCTGCAATCAAGAAACACACTTTATAATCTATGATAGATATAGCCTCAGGGTAAAAAGTTGAGAAAAGATATTTCAAGTAAATGGACCTAAAAAGCAAGCTGGTATAGCCATTTTAATATCTAGCAAAATAGACTTCAAACCAAAAATAGATATTAAGAAAACAATTAACCCAATTATAACTAGAGTATGGACCTAAATAGAGAATTGTCAAAGAGGAAACTCAAGTGGCTAAGAAACATTAAAGAAATGTTCAACTTCCTTAGCATCCAGAATACACAAATCAGTGCATTTTCATAAATTTCATGAGATTTCATCTTATACCTGTCAGAATGGCTAAGATCAATAAAACAAGGAGTATCTCATGCTGGTAAGGATCCGAAGCAAGAGGAACACTCTTCCATTGCTGGTAGGAGTACGAACTTGTACAGCCATTATGGAAATCAGTGTGGTACTTCTTCAGGAAGGAGGGAATTGATCTACCTCAAAATCCAACTATACTACTCTTGGCCATATACCTAAAGTATCTTATACTACCAGAGGGACACTTGTTTAATCATGTTCATTGTTGCTCTATTCATAATACTCAGAAATTGAAAACAACCTAGATGCCACTCAATAGGTGAATGAATAAGGAAAATGTGGTACATTTATACAGTGGAGTATTACTCAGCAATTTAAAAAAAAATGAAAATTTCAAGTAAATGGTTAGAACTATAAAGAAAAATCATCCTGAGTATATATTAGCTGTTACATCAATGATAATCAAGTTACAACCTGTAGAACCACAAAGGTTAGGTAGAGTAAGTGTCTTGGGGACAGATAGATCTCATTTGGAAAGGGAAATAGAAGAGATACTTACTGATGGATAGTGTGGGAGACTGGAAGGGAAAGATCAAGTGAGGAGGCAGAGGGGAGAGGGGCACATTACTGCTGGGGATGTCTTTCTGTATGCTGAGAATGTGTTGCTCTGATTTGGTTGATAAACAAAATGCTGACTTGCCAGTAGCCAAGGAGGAATTGTAGTATAGGCGGGATAAGCAGAGAGAAGAGTTCTGGGAAGAGGAAGCCTGAGTCAGGAGTTGCCAGCCAGACACAGAGGAAGCAGATGTGAAGGCAAAACTGAGAAAAGATACTAAGCCACGTGGCTAAACATAAATAAAAAGTATGGGTTAGTTTAAATGTAAGAGCTAGTCAGTGGTAGACTGGAACTAATGACGAAGCAGTTTTAATTAATATAAATCGCTCTGTGTTTATTTGGGTCCAAGCAGCTGTAGGACTGGCAGGTGAGAGAGATTTGTCCTGACCATGGGCCAGCTGGGACACAGGAAAACTTTAGCAACACATTACAGAATATGGGGAGAGAGAGTTAAAATTGAGGGATAGTGGGGAAATGTAATACAGGAGAAGCTTCCTAAAATATATACATATATGAAGGACATCTAAATTAAATCACAAAATAAAAAGAGGAGACAGAACCCCAATTGCCCATCTCTTGTCAACAAAGGAAGCTTCCAGTACCTGGATTAGGATACATCTAATTGAGTTGTGGGCCAAATGGTTCCCATGGGTCCTATAGCAACCTCCAAACAACCAGGGTATTGCCAAGACTATGGGTTGCTCTCCAGAAACTGACACCAAGGCACCACTGCTAAAGACAGCACCTACACAGCTCATTGAGGATGGAGAGATCAAGCTGGGACCTACATAGAGCCTTCATCTCTATGTACTAGTATCTTTGGTACAGAAAGGTACTCTGTAAGATACCAAAGGAGAAACATAAATATCAAACCAGTCACAAACTCTTTGATCTACAATAGTGTCCTGTCTGAAAGACACGCTAGTGCATTGGTGGCACTAATCTTCTGGTAAAAACCAACCAATATCTGATTTGCCTAAAGGTTCCTCCATGAGATGGAACCCATATCCAACACTGCTTGGGTGACTAATATCCTGAGATTAGATAGTTCAAAGACCTGAGGTTAAAAAAAAAAAAAAAAAGACTACTGTTTTAAAAATAAAAACAAGCGGAGCGGGGGGAGCAACCAAATGACTCTTAATAGCATTCTGCTATACTCATAGATCAATGTCTGC